CCAAGGAATGATAGTTAATATTACATTTTTTTGTCTTGAAATCTTCAACGGAACTTAACCTCGTCTTTATGGTTCATTGATCTACATTTAATATTCGGAGTAAGGCCAGCTTTTCAATTGTTTTTTAATTATTAGTCAACTGTTTTGTTGTCAATATTTATTGCTGGTATGAATAAAAGGTGATATCGCGTGAACGTCAATAAGACAACAAGTTCACCTAATCAAAACAAGTCTTTAAAACGACTTTAAACCCACTGAGTTTTTATGCACTTGTCCTATGTCTGTTGTTCAGTGGTTGTCGTGTTTTGGTAGGTGTTTCTCGTTTCTCGTATTTTATATAGATTAGAGCGTTGGTTTTTTTGTTTGAATTGTTTTACACTAGTCAATCTTGTGCCTTTTATAGCATGCTGTTTGGTGTGAGCCAAGGCTCCGTGTTGAAGGCAGTACCTTGACCTTTAATTGAATTGTTAACTTTTTATACATTGTGACTTGGATTGAGAGTTAATTGTCTCATTGGCACTCATACCACTTCTTCTTATAAATTATCTTTAGTTCGGTCCTGGTTAGAAAACGTTGTAAATGAATCTAAACTGAAATACTTGTAATAAAAAATAGGCCATCTACTATTATATTTTCAATTATTTAAAAAAAAGTAAAAGAGAGGCGAAGGATACTCACGGGACATTGAAACTCATAAGTCGAAAATAAACTGACAACGACATCGCTAAAAACAGAAAAAGACAAACAGACAAACTACAGTACACAAAACACAACATAAAAAAACAAAGACTGAGCAACACGAATACCATACAAAAACTGGGGTTCATCTCAGGTGCTCTGGAAGGGTAAGCAGATCCTGCTCCACATGTGGCATCCGTCGTGTTGCTCAAGTTAGTACAAACCCCATGATTAGTCTAAATCGGTAGGTCACATTTGAGGAAAAAGGAACGCGATTGTAGTTACGACAATTGGAACATATTCGTTGTCATCTGTGAAACGAATATTCAATAATAATCAACCACCTCGATATTCGACAATACACAATCACTGACCAACCACTTAAGACAGACATGGTAATACGACGGGTTAAACTATAATTTTTCTTTAAGCTCTCAAGCCCTTTTTAATCCCAATTAGTAAACTTACAAAAGATAGGTAAAACACACAAAGTTAGTCTAAAGAATCAATTAGACCTAAGGTATATAGATAACAAAACCACAAGTTAAAAACGAAACAAAAATAATAACACTACATCACTCTTAGTTACTGAAAAGAAGTTCAAAGCACATAAGCTACTGTATGAAACCGTGTCATTCAGTATTTTGATATAGAACATAAGTAATAGGTAAATTGTATTTAGTGGTAGAATACATGTAAGCTGTACTTGTCCACCTGACTTTGACCCCATTTACATGATTATTTTAACAAATTCCAGTTTCCACTGTTTCATCAGATTATCGGTCATGAGTTATCATTACTCAGTATTAATCATTGAATATATTCACGGCATGGTGGACATATTCGTCTGACAGAATTTGTATGATTTTGACATTCTTTTCGTGAATCTTTGATCAAATTAAAGTGTGTGTGATACCTGTAGTAGTAGGATTTTGACTTCAAAGACTTTAAACCTAACATTAAATCATAATCAGTAAAGCAGGCGTGACAATTCCGCGTATTCACTGAAGTATGAAGTAAACTCTTTCGGAATATGTTTTCTAGACTCCTGCCTGTCTGTTGCATTATATTGTCATATCTCGCTAGATACTCCCTTGCAGTTGCCAAAAGCATACTTGCAAGAGGCAACATAAAGATTTGATCTCGTTGACTGTGCCATTAGTTTATGGTTTCGAGGGATAACGGACAAGAGAACGAACTTACTATACAGAACAGCATTTAATAGAGAGGAACAAAAAACATACACATACACACTAAATAATAGTTAATAGGAACATTTGTTTGAAAACGACAAATGACATTTATTTGAGAGGAACAAATTTAAAGAACATTGGAACATATTGGCTGAAAAGAACGGCAGTATTTGGAAATTTACATAGACCAAGATAGGTCACTGACTATACAAACAGCTTTCGAATGAGAAAAACACAGAACATGACAGAACGTTCACATTCCAAACAAAAGTGACTGCGCTTTCATTCCTCCCGCACAGCCATATGAAAACCTCTCTTTAGCATAGGGTATGTAGCTGAATGGTTGCTTTCCAGGTGATCATATTCAATATGAAAAACAATTTGTAATAATCTCTGCATTTCCCTGCCCTTTATAAACCCTTACATATATATAAAGTGTTAGAATATTGTTAAATGTAGTCCATTAAAAAAGGAGGCTTAAATTCTAAAATAGCTGTTATCTTGTTCAATCTGACCTAGAAGAGACTTATGATACATAATACGTGTTTGATCTTTTACACGAAAGTACTACATGTACCACAAAGCAATTAAGCATACATCTAAAAAGTTTTTGCTACATGTGGGCCTTTGAAATGTATTAAGAGTTTTTGTTTGGATCTCCTTTCAGATAAAAACAAATATTGGTGTGAAATTTCGAAATAGCTCATATATTCAGATAAATGTAATGCAAAAAATGTATGCACAACAAGCACAGTCATCTATAATTGTAAAATAAATGGCTCATCCGGAGGCTGCGTCGATTTCGAATGATTTTCTTCAGCCATGTCGTTTGTATGTACATTTATATACAAAAATTTACAATACTCCTCATTTAAATATTCAACAGATGGTTGTTGTATGAGTCCTTCACAGTCTGGTTTGATTGAAAATGCATCAGGAAATCAAAAACAGTTAATGATGAATACGACTGGAAAATAGTACTGCATCCCAGTGCTCAGCAGTACAACTTTGCTGGCGGAACAGATCAAGGGGTTGGTTATCCACAGCATCCAAACGTTTTCTACACTTAGACATAATTGTACAAGGAATGACATCTATGAATTTTACTTTTCTCCAATGTATTTGATGCGTTTTTTATATTGACGCATATAATAAAACTCCATATTAAAACTAGATATATATTATTTGAAAGGAAATCCAGAAACCGTTGACCACTTTCAAATGTGTATGTAACATTGAGGCGTGAATAACATTTCGAATGACAATAGATATTTTAGATTTATACATCGAAAAAAAAAACTATAGATGACAATACGGTATGGGTTTTGCTCATTGTGTCAGGTCGTACATTGTAAAATTGAGAATGGAAATGGGGAATGTGTCAAAGAGACAACAACCCGACCATAGAACAGACAACAGCAGAAGGTCACCAACAGGTCTTCAATGCAGCGAGAAATTCCCGCACCCGGAGGCGTCCTTCAGCTGGCCCCTAAACAAATATATATACTAGTTCAGTGATAATGAACGCCATACTAAACTCCAAATTGTACACAAGAAACTAAAATTAAAAATAATACAAGACTGACAAAGGCTATAGGCTCCTGACTTGGGACAGGCGCAAAAATGCGGCGGGGTTAAACATGTTTATGAGATCTCAACCCTCCCCCTATACCTCTAGCCAATGTAGAAAAGTAAACGCATAACAATACGCACATTAAAATTCAGTTCAAGAGAAGTCCGAGTCTTATGTCAGAAGATGTAACCAAAGAAAATAAACAAAATGACAATAATACATAAATAACAACAGACTACTAGCAGTTAACTGACATGCCAGCTCCAGACTTCAATTAAACTGATTGAAAGATTATGTCTTCATCATATGAATATCGGGCACAATCCTTCCCGTTAGGGGTTTAGTATCATACCATCATAACATATATGAGAAGAACATAACCCGTGTCATGCCAACAACTGGTTTTTAAATAAATGTGTTTAGTGCCGATGCAAAGACCCTATAAGTGAATCAATAATAACGCCAGAATATTCAATCTTTAATGACCTGACAACAGTATCGTAACAATATTCCTTCTTAATAAGTCTATTTAAAGGTTTTGTTAGCTTCAGAGGTGAATACTGACATTTTTGTGCTTTATAAAGAATATTTCCATAAAAAATTGGATGTGAAATACCTGAACCTATATTTGGTTTAATCCTTCTCATTTGGTCTTTGTTGGATAATTGTCGCATTGGCAATCATACCACATCTCCTTATTTTATCTATTTTTTTCTAGTGAACACACATTAGACTCAGTTGGACTGTTTAGTAAATTATTTTTATAAAGTTTTATGTTGCAAAAGGAAAAGAAACAAAATCCAAACCAAAAGATTGATGGATGGATTCGTGTTTAATGTCCAAAGAGATCATCATCTTTAATGTTAACTAAAAAATTACAGATTTCACTAAAATAGCATTATATTGTCTTTCAGATAAATGATGAGTTCGGTTGTCCTGCTCAACGTACTATTGAAATAAATCTGCAAATTTGCAGTTTTGTAAATAACCAGAACTTTCACTGAAATGATTCGATCTTATAACAGTC